TGTGTCAACTAGTTAAATAGTGACAGCCTAAATGTCAACTAGTTAACTAGTAAGGCCTAAATTCTCTCTAGTTAACTAGTTAAAATGTTTCATATCTTACTAGTTAACTAGTATTGCTCAGTGTGTTAACTAGTGCGCATTTATGTCTACCACAAGTTAACTAGTGTGCACATTTTGACCCTCACTAGTTAACTAGTGAGACAAATACCTTCAAGTAGCTGACTGGTATGCATTTCTGCTTTTACTAGTTAACTAGTGAGCAGTTTTTGTGTCAACTAGTTAACTACTGAAGCCTAAATGTGTTCACTAGTTAACTAGTGCGCATTTCTGCTGTCACTAGTTAACTAGTGGGCACATTTTCACCCTCGATATTTAACTAGTTGACACAAACATGGCTAACTAGTTAACTAGTGGACAGAAATGGCTTACATGTTCATGACAATTCTGGCTGATATCCTGATATCAGAATAAATGCTCATTTGGCTTGCCATACAGGTTTGTTTGACCTGACCCCGGCTTTCCACGGGAGCCGTCAGCAGCACGTTACTGCAGCAGCACGTCATAGCTGCTGATAGGAACCGCTGTGGTCAACAGAACCTTTTCCACAGGAGCCGTCAGCAGCGCGAGTCGGCCGCGTCTCAGGAGCAGCATGTCGCGGCCTTTACGCGCCGGTTCTATTTTCTACGCGCGACGCCTCTGAAACGGGTCAAGTTCGACATTTTTGGGGAAGGAAAGACAGAAAATCTGACGCGGAAATGGAGAGAAGCTCCCGAGATTTTCAGAATAAAGAACGTACTGCCTTCCGGTTGCTTTACTTTAAAAAAGGTTACTAACTGCGTCCCCGTGAGAAGTTATCACCTAGCTAGCGGTCTCCTTTGTTTTTCAGGTCCGTATTGGCGATTATAAAACGGACAGAACATAAAACACAAACCATGTTGTAGTTTTCTCCTGCTTGTTGTTGTGTTTACTGACGAAGTCACTCGTGTGACTTCGTGCTCGGTCGGTGACAGCTGCTCCCCTGCTGCTTCGCGTCTCGTGGGAAGGGCCGAGCAGCAGCTTACGCGAGCAAGACGTGCTGCTGACGGCTCCCGTGGAAAGCCGGGGTGAGATTGACGGTTCAGGATTCAGTATTCAGTGATTAAACACCGAGCCGCAAAAATGGACCCTGTAGCAAAAAGAGGGCGTTCTGAGATGTGGGAATGTTCCAATTTAATCTCTCCAAATAAGGTTTGAAAATGTATTTGGTCTAGTCTAGTAAATTACCTTTATAGTAGTAATACTTGGTGCATGTTGTAGGGCTATAGCTTTTAGACCGTCTGTCATTTTCCTTTAATTAAATTAAAATCTCGTTTGGTATGATTTTTCTTCTTTTATTGGTAATTAATATAATAGTTGATGAGCTTTTCAGTTTGGTTGTACGTGTAATGGAATTTAGTATGTCCTATCCTTATGTGAATTCTCTAATCTTCATTTTGTTACTCTATTTCTAAAAAAGATACATAAATTGAGCTAATTATTCCTGCCTAATAATCCAATAGAAATGTGAAAAGTAAAATATTTGAATATGTAGAGAATGTTAACATGTGTAAATTAGATATATTTCATCACGTATCCCATAAAAATAAACATTGTTTCATTTCAAGTATTCACACCAAGAAAAGCAATTTTAGTACATTTAATGTAATGTTCAAATTCAAGATACTTTTATTATATGATCCTGAGGAAGCTTTTTAATGCTTTATTTGTCCATAAAGTTCAATACACCATTCATTTTCAGTAGAATTGGCTGACAATACAATGAAATACAAACTTTTACCAGCAGGTGTCCTCACAGAGTTTTGAAGCATCGAACCTTGAACCTTTTTTCAATACAATTGGATTGTAAAGCTTTGTTGGTTCAAAAGGCTTCACATCATCATCACTACTGAAATCCCTGGTTTTACTACCTGCTGGTGGGCGGAGCTTAAGCCAAACCGTTGATTAATGTGAAGTTTGGTCTAACGAGCCTTCCTCGTCTGTTCCAGATACGTTCAAGAGAGCACATCCACGTCCCGTCAAGAGGACACGGAAGACAACTCGGCCAACCACCGTACGAAGGACGAGACGAGCGCTGCACCTGTGAGAAGGATGGAGGAGAAACGTGTCCACCGTCCAAACGTCCGCAAGAGCAGGCAGTTGGAGGGCGATGAAACTGAAGACAGTGAGGACAGTGATGGTTCAGATGTACTTACCCGGGTGTCTTCGCACTGCCTGTCTACTGCCTACAAGCCAGATCGACCCAGGAGCCCGCCTCCCAAGGTGGAGGAGGAAGAACAAGTCCATCTTTTACACAAGGATGTGTTGGACGATGACGAGACAGAGGACAGTGAGGACGGGGATGATACCGACTCCGTTTCCACCAGGCTGTCCACTCAGAAGCCTCTGGTGTCCAATCCCAAAGCAGCGCAAAACCCAGAGCCTGCCAGTGTCAAGGAGGTTCCTGTGAAGGCCATCAGTCAGGACACCGCTAAAGACGATGGTCAAGGTAGCCGTAGCACCAGAGATGGGCCCTCGTCTCCGTCGCCTCCAACGTCTGATCACAGGTCGGGTCGGAACGAAGGCGTGGAACCGATGGAGGTGACGGAGAGTGAAGGTGTCACAAACCCAAACGGTCAGGTGCCTCGGCGTTTGGGCTGGTCCTGTCACTTGTGTCGGTTACACCATGGCACCAAAAGGATGCTGGTCAGACACGCCTGGACCCACATCGGGGACGTCAAGCTGCTGTGTGGGGTGTGTGGAGACCAGTCGCACTCTTCACACGCTCTACGGACACATCTACAGACTCACCAAAAGGTCTTCGCGTGCAAGATCTGTACCAAGGTGTTCCTGTCCATCAGGGGCTTCGAGGAGCACAAGGAACGTCACAAAGGTCACACGTCTTCCCACAGGTGCAGAGTGTGCAGCCAAACCTTCACAAACGCGTCAGAGCTGCAGAAACACAAGGAAGTCCACGCCGACGAACCCCAAGGCAAATGTGAGACCTGCCAAAGGTCGTTCAACTCGAGTCTTAAGCTCAAACTCCACCTGCTGACCCACAAGGGGATCAAGCAGGGGGAGCCTGGGCCCCAGTAAGCACCGGCGTTGGGTTCTGGTGAACGAGTTCAGCTGTGACGTCTGCAGCAGGAGGTTCTTTCTCCATAGCGGCGCAGCAGGCGCACACGCAAAAGCACGGCCAGCAGGGGGCATCCTCCTGATGGAAAGGCTCCAACGTGTGTGTGATCCCTTCCACAGGGTCTGAAAACTCTCCATGATCTCAATTATTTTCTGTGACCGGAAGCCCCGCCCCCTGGCTGAGGCTGGACTGCAGCATCCGTCTGTTCTGATGACATCATCTGATCTGTCTGGGTCGGAGGTGGTTATTTTAGATATTTTATAGCTGTTACATCCTTCTCCCACCCAGCAGCTCCTTTCAGGATGTTAGCTGCCGGTTTTGTTCCGAGCCCTCTTGGCTTTGTGTGTCTGGTAAAAACCAAGTCGAGACTTTTTTCAGGAAGTTCGTGTTTGTAGCAGAACCCAAACATCTGGATTCCTCTAAGCTTCTGTAACAGGAACCCTAGACTTTGATCTTCTGAATCTGAAGCAGTTTTGTTCAACACTGGTACTTCTATTTTGAAAATCTAGAACTTTTAGGTGATGTCTAATAACTTTTCTCTGTGGAGAAAATCGGGTTGATTCAGCAGTTTGCTGTTGTTTCTCCTTTTAGCCTAAATACCAGACTTAGGAAAAGCTGCTGCTTCAGTCCTGTTATTTAAACGTTCCGATTCATGTAACTGACACGGTTTTATTAACCAATAAATTTGTCACGTTTTTCTTTGGCTCTCTCTCTCGGTGTGTGCGTGTAAACGTTTGGATTTAGTTGCACATTAAATGATTTCTAGATCTGAGACTAAATCTATTTTAATTATATATTTCCTCGTGTTAACTTTGAGAGGTAACCTGTAACCGGGAGACAGAGACATGGTCGCAAAGCTCCACCTGGACCCGTGAAGCCAAACTGCAACAGTAAATCTATTGAACTCTTATTTTCCTAAAACCTTCGAGTGTTTTTGTAACATTTAGTACTTGTGTGGTTTGTTGTAGATAGTATTTGTGTGGTTTGTTGTAGATAGTACTTGTGTGGTTTGTTGTAGAGGAAAGTTCGCAGACAGGAAGTGGGTTTGTCTATGCGGGACGCCCAAATGGTTTATCTTCATCTTCTTCAAACTCTTGAAATTAGTGTTAAAATCAATGAAACTACAAACTTCATCAGTAATGATAAAAGTTGTGTTCTGTGGCTGAAACTACACAAAACTTTGACTTCACCAACGGGAGAACTTTACTTGTTTTCACCCGGACTGTTTTCGTGGCTGCACCGCAACCCGGAAGCAGCTTCTTTAGATGGACGCGGGGAAGTTTTTAGGCCAGAGGAAACAAAACCATGTTTTACTGCAGCAGCGGCGGCTCGGAGCCGCTCAGCGGGTCTAAAACTGATATTGTGAGAGGAATCATCACCGAGAAGCTGACCACGGCCGCGCGGGAGATCTTCGCGGTGGTGGAGAAGATCGTAACCGACTACGAGGCGGAGGCTTCGGGCTTCAGGCAGCAGGTTGACCGCCAGAGGAGGCAGCTGGAGCTCCTGCAGCCTCGGGTCAAACTCCTCAGAGAAGGTCAGTGGGAGGCTGGAGGTGGTGCTGAGAGACTGTTCTGAAGATTTATTACTGACACGTGGAGGTAAACATGCTGTTTTATTGTGAATAAAACAGAGGAGGTCCCAGATCAGCGCAGCCAGGTGGTCGTTAGTGAGGAGCAGCAGACAGGTGAGTCCCAGCAGCTTCACCCCAACCATCGTCCCACTCACCCGTTGAACTGACATGTCCTGTTCAGATGTAGAAAAACCTGGACTCCTGGACTTTCTCTGGTACAACGACGATGAGGAGGAAGAGGAGGACGCTGCTGATCAGGATCAAAAGGAACAGCTGTTGGCTCAGCCCACTTCCATCTCCAGAGGAAAACAAGATCACCTGAAGGATCCAGATTACGAAATCCCGCCAAGGTTACTCATCCCAGTTTCCTGCTGTGGCCGTTCCCTTAAAACTGGTCTGAGACCAGCTTGGCTTTGGTGGTTGTGTCCGGGATGAGAGGACCTCCCGTCTACTGGAGTCAGATTAGAGTTCAGCACCCATCTGTTTTCATTTTCTATGGTTCTGACCTCAAAACACCAGGAAACAAGTATAATCCTAATCTAGAAGATCAGGAGCACAGGTTACATTTAGTACTGGATCACGTTACCGTGGAGATGAGAGTTCAAGGTAAAGTCTCTTTAGTCATCGCATGCTGGTGAAACTACCGATTTGACTCATCTCGAAGGGAAGTGGTGAGCTGGAGTCGAACCCCGATCTCCCAGTCCCAGGGTGGACTTTACCTCGAGGCCAGAAGAGAGGGAGATGTAGCGATGTCATCTGCGTAATCTAGCACCAAATACATACCAGAAGCAAAAAGGTAAAGTGACTGCTCCTCTCCTTCAGATTATCGTCCAGACCTCCATCTGAGAGGACCTGGCCCGGCAGACCTCGGCTCAGTGACACACAGAACCACCTGGACCTGCGGGTGCGGCTGCTGGAGGACTCTCACACCCAGGTGCTCTCCAACATCGGTACGGTCTGAAGACTCCACCCAGATGGAGATTGGATTAATCTGGATTATGAGATCCCTTTTTTATTTCCTCCCAACTTCTGAGTCTGTGATCATAAAGTAATGATTCGTTAACTTTCACAGCTCTAACAAAGTTTTGATCCGTGGAAAAATCTAGACCAGGGGTCGGCCACTTGTTCCCATCAAAGAGCCATTATTACCCGTTTCCCACAGTAAAGAAAACACTGGGAGCCACAGCAGCCGCGGCGTTGTGGGCGGGGCCTACCCTCAGACAGCAGAGAGCTGATTTAACCAATCACAACAGGTGACAGCAGCTGGTACCGGTCGCTCGTGTACGTCAAAGTTATCTTTCATAAGAAGATAATCAATAAAACGATTTATATAAAGTGGATCCAGAAGTTGTAGCCCGTCTCTGCTACAATATTTTGATATTTTTCACCCTGTTGGTGGTTCTACTGAGCAGGTGCCACTTTTGTCATACGTTTCTTTTTAAAACATGTTTAGACTGTTCAGAATACAAATCCAGGCTCTGTCACGTTTGATTGTTGTAATTAAACTTTGTAGGTGGGGAAGGTCAGAAAAGGATCCGATCATTTTGTTTTTCCCTCATTTACAGTGACGGAGATAAAGGCGCAGTGCACCTGGCTCTGGTGTTAATCAAGTTTAATTTGTAACAATTATCACAAGAAAACAGAACAGTTAAAAGCAGGACATGTGTTGACCGGATAGTTCCCGTATTTGGCCGTTTATTTTGACGGAGAAAGAATAGAAAGAATTACCCCGACGCGTGCAGACAAACTGACATTTTATTTGTTTCGCACATCGCAGATGTAGCTAAATCACTCAAGAAAAGATTTCCTTCTGAACATCTGAGATGGACGTTGCTCAGCGCAGCTCACTGTCAGCGTGTACTACATAAGGTCCACAGCGAGCTGAAGATGTGGAGAGGGGCTTGGAGCGCGTCGCAGAACCAGAGCGCATGCGGGAAGATTCCTCCAACTGAAGCAAGTGTTTTCCAAACCCGGTCTCTCAGAGAGACTTGTCACTTAGAAAATGTTCCCTGATTATGAAACTTTGGCTGAATAGCGCTTGTTCCTGTCTCCAATGTGGCGACACATCCAGGAGCCGTCTGAGGAGAATCCCAGAATCTCACATCGTCTTCAGCTCAGTCTCAGAACACGCATATGATTACGCACAAGCGTGACGCGTCAACCCGGTCTCACAGTAAAACCAGGTTGGACCTGTTCAGGTTTACGCAGACAATCTTTACATTTAGAATTAGCTTACAGATGTAAAATTAATGCAGTAAAATATAAAGCATTTTATTTAAATATCCATTCATTATTTTACAAGCACAGAGAGCCGCATCAGATGGATGTGAGAGCCGCATGCGGCTCCAGAGCCGCGGGTTGCCGACCCCTGATCTAGACTATCTGACCTGTATGGAATACACCAGATTATCAGAGGAGATCTGAGGCTCAGCCACGCATGCGTTCCTGTCCCGACTCGCTGTGTTTGGTCCAGAAATCCATTTTATTTGTTAAACTCTGATTTCCCTACCCGGTTGAGCTCATCGGACCCTAAAGATGATGCCTTCTTCTATCGGGGCTGCAGATGTTAGTGTTAGATTAGAACCAGCATCAGGTGTTGGATTAGGACCTGCATCAGATGGGAGATTAGGACCTGCATCAGATGGGAGATTAGGACCTGCATCAGATGGGAGATTAGGACCTGCATCAGATGGGAGATTAGGACCTGCATCAGGTGTTGGTGCCAGATTAGGACCTGCATCAGGTGTTAGATTAGGACCTGCATCAGGTGTTAGATTAGGACCTGCATCAGGTGTTAGATTAGGACCTGCATCGGATGTTAGATTAGGACCAGAATCAGGTGTTGGTGCCAGATTAGGACCTGCATCAGGTGTTAGATTAGGACCTGCATCAGGTGTTAGATTAGGACCAGCATCAGATGTTAGATTAGGACCAACATCAGGTGTTAGATTAGGACCCGCATCAGGTGTTAGATTAGGACCAACATCAGATGTTAGATTAGGACCCGCATCAGGTGTTAGATTAGGACCAACATCAGATGTTAGATTAGGAAGAGCATCAGGTGTTAGATTAGGACCTGCATCGGATGTTAGATTAGGACCAGAATCAGGTGTTGGTGCCAGATTAGGACCTGCATCAGGTGATGGATTAGGACCAGCATCAGTTGCTAGATTAGGACCAACATCATATGTTAGATTAGGACCCGCATCAGATGTTAGATTAGGACCAACATCAGGTGTTAGATTAGGACCCGCATCAGGTGTTAGATTAGGACCAGCATCAGATGTTAGATTAGGACCAGCATCAGATGTTAGATTAGGACCCGCATCAGGTGTTAGATTAGGACCAACATCAGATGTTAGATTAGGACCCGCATCAGATGTTAGATTAGGACCAACATCAGGTGTTAGATTAGGACCAGCATCAGGTGTTAGATTAGGACCTGCATCGGATGTTAGATTAGGACCAGAATCAGGTGTTGGTGCCAGATTAGGACCTGCATCAGGTGTTGGATTAGGACCAACATCATATGTTAGATTAGGACCCACATCAGGTGTTAGATTAGGACCAGCATCAGGTGTTGGATTAGGACCAGCATCAGTTGCTAGATTAGGACCAACATCAGGTGTTAGATTAGGAAGAGCATCAGGTGTTAGATTAGGACCTGCATCGGATGTTAGATTAGGACCAGAATCAGGTGTTGGTGCCAGATTAGGACCTGCATCAGGTGATGGATTAGGACCAGCATCAGTTGCTAGATTAGGACCAACATCATATGTTAGATTAGGACCCGCATCAGATGTTAGATTAGGACCAACATCAGGTGTTAGATTAGGACCCGCATCAGGTGTTAGATTAGGACCAACATCAGGTGTTAGATTAGGACCCGCATCAGGTGTTAGATTAGGACCAGCATCAGATGTTAGATTAGGACCAGCATCAGATGTTAGATTAGGACCCGCATCAGGTGTTAGATTAGGACCAACATCAGATGTTAGATTAGGACCCGCATCAGATGTTAGATTAGGACCAACATCAGATGTTAGATTAGGACCAGCATCAGGTGTTAGATTAGGACCTGCATCGGATGTTAGATTAGGACCAGAATCAGGTGTTGGATTAGGACCAACATCATATGTTAGATTAGGACCCACATCAGGTGTTAGATTAGGACCAGCATCAGGTGTTAGATTAGGACCAAAATCATATGTTAGATTAGGACCAGCATCAGGTGTTAGATTAGGACCAGCATCAGTGAGGGACTGTTCTGATCCTTGGATGGTTTTTCCTTGCTGGAAATTCTGACGTCCAACTAAACGGTTACAGAAGTTTATATTTAATTTTCCTCACAGGAAGTGTTATTCCTTTCATTCCAGTGTTTCGGACCACTCCGGTCCGGGACCTGAAGTGTCCCCGTGGTCTACAGGAGTCAGAGTTTCTGGACCTCCTCAGGTCCTCCTTCCCTCAGCTGGCTGATGGAGAACCTTTTGATCTCTTCACCACCGACCTCAGCAGGAAGCTGCTGCCTCTGAGGGTCAAAGCTCTGACCCCGGAGGAGATCTACTCCACCATCAGGTCTACAGGGAAAATGTCCATCTACGTTCGTCTGAAGGTTTAAGTCTGAGTAATTTCTTATCTAATGGAACCTACATGGTGATGTTCTCTAGAAGAAATCAGAGATTTCTTGTGTTAATCTGCTGGAACCATCTGAAGGTTCCAGTGTTTATGTGTCTCTGAACTCATCTTCTTTAGTCCTCAGGCGGCAGCAGAAGTGAAGATCTGCATCCTCCTGAGAACCCTGATGATGAACCCAGATCCAGTTGTGCATCAGCATCTTCTGGTCCCACCAAAGGGATTATGAGGTAATCTTAATCCAGACCACAACTCTCTGGGATTAGAGGATAGCTTCATCACCTTCTGTGTCAGGTTGGTGTCTGCTGGCAAGAGGAGACGTGGCAGACCTCGCCTTGGTGAAGAACCTTCTCACCACCTTCTCAGGCTCTGCTTGTTGGACAATCCCAACTCGATCAAGCTCCCTAATCCCGGTGAGGATGGAATCAGAACTCACGGTGAAGTTGCTGCTGCAGGAACTCTAGCTAAATTCCAAATCTTTGCAGAGTTGCAGAAATCTTCGGTGCTGGACCTGAAATGCCCCCGTGGTCTTCAGGAGGAGGAGTTTGTGCATCTGCTGAAGTCCACCTTCCCTCAGCTTGTTGGAGATGACAGAAGATTCAGCATCTATAAGTCGGACCGAAACAAAAAGCTCCAGAAGGTCAGAGTGAAGAGCCTAACGCCAGAGGAGATCTACAAGAACATGAAGTCCACAGGGATCAGGAAGAACTTCATCTACATCAAAGTGAAGGTAGAATAGAGAAGAAGTTTGTTTAGGGTTAGACGTCTCCAGCAGAGGGAGGGGTGGGACCAGACTCCAGTGAAGCTCTGATGTCACAAATCTGGAGGGGGAGTCTTTTCCCCTCACATTATGTCACGCATCTGGGGGCAGTCTCCCCCTCCCCCACATTATGTCACAATCTGGGGGCGGAGTCTTCTCCCCCTACATTATGTCACGCATCTGGGGGCGGAGTGTTCTCCCCCTACATTACGTCACACATCTGGGGCCGGAGTCTTCTCCCCCTACATTACGTCACACATCTGGGGCCGGAGTCTTCTCCCCCTACATTACGTCACACATCTGGGGCCGGAGTCTTCTCCCCCTACATTACGTCACACATCTGGGGGCGGAATCTTCTCCCCCTACATTACGTCACACATCTGGGGGCGGAATCTTCTCCCCCTACATTACGTCACACATCTGGGGGCGGAATCTTCTCCCCCTACATTACGTCACACATCTGGGGGCGGAATCTTCTCCCCCTACATTACGTCACACATCTGGGGGCGGAATCTTCTCCCCCTACATTACGTCACACATCTGGGGGCGGAATCTTCTCCCCCTACATTACGTCACACATCTGGGGGCGGAATCTTCTCCCCCTACATTACGTCACACATCTGGGGCCGGAGTCTTCCCCCCCTACATTATGTCACACATCTGGAGGCGGAGTCTTCTCCCCCTCGCATTATGTCACACATCTGGGGGCGGAGTCTTCTCCCCCTACATTATGTCACACATCTGGGGGCGGAGTCTTCTCCCCCTCACATTATGTCATGCATCTGGGGGCGGAGACTTATCCCCCTACATTATGTCACAATCTGGGGGCGGAGTCTTCTCCCCTACATTATGTCACACATCTGGGAGCGGAGTCTTCTCCCCCTCACGTGATGTCACACATCTGGGGGCGGAGTCTTCTCACCCCTGCATTATGTCACACATCTGGGGGCGGAGTCTTCTCCCCCTCACATTATGTCACACATCTGGTGGCGGAGTCTTCTCCCCCTACATTATATCACACATCTGGGGGCGGAGTCTTCTCCCACTACATTATGTCACACATCTGGGGGCGGAATCTTCTCCCCCTCACATTATGTCACGCATCTGGGGGCGGAGACTTATCCCCCTACATTATGTCACAATCTGGGGGCGGAGTCTTCTCCCCCTCACGTGATGTCACACATCTGTGGGCGGAGTCTTCTCACCCCTACATTATGTCACACATCTGGGGGTGGAGTCTTCTCACCCTCACGTGATGTCACATTTGGGGGTGGAGTCTTCTCACCCACACATTATGTCACACATCTGGGGGTGGAGTCTTCTCACCCACACATTATGTCACATCTGGAGGAGGAATCTTCTCACCCACACATGATACCATGCATATGGGGGCGGAGTCTTCACACATCTGGAGGTATAGTCTTTAGTTGTACAGCAGAACTGCTTCTTCCCACTGCACATGAAAGCGGCGCGAAACGGAATGCGTGGCAGTTGGTCGCCTTCATGTGGGATAAGTTTCTTTCCTCGGCAGCAAAGTGTGCCATTTTGGACACGATCTAGAATAGACCTTTCAAGTCTATTTTTTTATGCGCTACACTTCCAAAACACGTCAAACTCTGCAGTTTAGATTGCTCCAGACAGGAAGTCAAACACAAAAGCAGTGTAAAACATCCTGAAACTTTCTATATAAGTCACATGCAGGTAAGTGTTCGTCATTTACTCTTATAACCTCGTAGCCGATGTAAGCAACCTTTTTTGATTATTGCAGCTGTTTTTGTTCTTGATTGTTATTGTATGTGGACCTCTGAAATCACGAGCGGTGTTGCATTTCTCCCGTGATTTTGTGACATCACGGGATCAGTTGTGTAGAACACTTTCGCTCCCATTTCACGTCAGAATGGCTCCCGGTTGGGAACGAGCTTGTGGGTAAAGCGGTGCTATTATGTTACCCGACCGCTTTCACAGTCGGTGAAAAGAAGGGGCCATGTTGACGTGTTCCATAACCAGACACTGGGGGCATTGTTTTACCCCGGTTTCACACTGCAAGCATCAGCACAACGGAACGGCAACGGAGGGGCTCACTCGCGAACTTCAAAGCGGTCCTTTTCACACCGGGAGAGTCTTGGCCGCGGCACGGCTTCCTCACTGCGCCTTGCTGTACTCGCGAGATTCTAAAATCCCTCGAGACTTCCGACACCTTCCTCTTGGGCTGTGCGACATGACGAAATATTTCGCCTGGACGATAGGAAATGTCTATCATTTTATATGAAGCTCTATCGTTTACGTCACGGTTAGGAGTTTTATGGCAGTATTTTACGTCAAAAATCACTTTATGGCATGCCCCTGCACACTGCAAAACAAAACAAACGAGCATTGAGGAAAACGGCAGGGCACGCGTTCTACACCAGGTTCAAGAAGATGACCAGCTAACCCAAACTGAGGAGCTTGTAGGTAAAAGAGGGGCAACAACGTCTGTCGTATGGATGTGGTTTGGGTATAAAAAGACTGACATGGACCAGACAGCATATATTTATGGGCCGCATGGTGGCGCAGTTGTTAGCACTGTTGCCTTGCAGCACAAAGGTTGCAGGTTTGAAACTCGGCTGCGGCCTTTCTGCGTGGAGTTGCGTGTTCTCCCCATTCATGCGTGGGTTTCCTCCGGGTACTCCGGTTTCCCCCACAGATCACAACATGCCCTATAGGTTATAAATTGTAAGTCGTTTTGGATAAAACTTTCTGCCAAATAAATAAACATAATAAAGAAACAAACAACAGTTATTTGTAAAGTTTGCCGCCTCCCAGTCCCAACAACGGACTCCAACACCACAAATTTATTTTATCATCTGCGCAAAAACCATGACAACGAAAACAGGGACAGTTAATGAGCAAAAACTGCGTCGAGTGTTGGTTGGCGTAAGCGCTCATAATAAACTACAGACACAGATGCTGCATCAGGCTTTTACTCGTGGCACGCCATACAGCCATAGCTCCCACAGATGGAAGGAGATTACTGCTGCGGTCGCCAAGCACATCTGCAGAGATATGGTGCCAGTCTACGCAGTCGAGGAACGTGGGTTTCGTGAGTTGGTGCAGACACTCGATCCGAGATAACGAAATGCCCAGCTGAAAACACATGACCAAAGTCGTGTTACCAGAGTTATATAATGCATGTCGGGCCAAAGTGGAGGCGGAGATTCACAACGGGGTGTTTTATGCTACAACAGATATGTGGTCAAGCCAAACGACACATCCATATATGAGCCTGACGATACATTTTATTGACCAAGATTGGAACCTCTGCAGCCGGCGTTTACAGACAAGTTATTTCCCAGAAGACCACACTGGGGAAATGACAGCCAAGGGACTCAGAGAAGCACTTGACTTGTGGGGACTGCAAGAATATCGCCTCGTCTGTGTCACCACTAGAGCTGAAACAACTAATCGATTTAATCGATTATAATCGATTATTAAAATAAACAACTTTTTTAGTCATCGATTAGTTGTTTAATAATCATATTTTACCGCATAAAGTCTATTGTTTTACCACAATCTGACATTGGTTACAATCTGTTAAATTTGCCGCCAGTGTGTGGCAGTAATGAGCCACTGATCTACCAGTGGAGCCGTAGAAGAAGAAACGAGCCAATAAATGCCCTCGGTTTTCACGACGTAACACGTTACTGACGCGCATCTTGCTGTGAGAGATGGCGGAACAAGAAGAAATACGGAAGAAAAATAGAAGCGACAAAACTGAAGAGAAACCTCACGAGTATGGGAGCATTTCACTCTAGATGCCATGAAAAGACGGGTGACCTGCAAAATATGCAAAAACCATCTAGCATGGCACAGAAGCACGACGTCCCTAAGTGAACATTTGAGACGAAAACATGTGGGGGCTGATGCAGCAGAGGAAAGTCCGGTAAATCCGGTAAGTAACAGAAAATAAACAAGCTAACGCAGATCAAATTTGGGAGCTGAGTTCGTTATAGTGGATGTTAAACATGTTTGTTTGCCGCGTCAGTCTACCGTGTTCTACATCTGATTGACTAGATGCAATCGTGAATCTTCGTGTTGTGTATCATGCGCTTGCCAAATTTAGCACGTCTGTTTATAAGAATGTTCTCGTCCTCATGTCCTCATTCAAAAAAAGGACAACTCCGCGGAGAAAAATATACAGACGAGCTGTGTCCAGGTGAATATAACGCAGCATAGTTGTACGCTTTCAATTTTTAAATACAGGAAAATTTCAGAAAGTCATTTTTTTTTACTATTAAAAGGCTGTTTTACCGTCTAACTCTAAAACGCCTCACAACACATTTTTGTCAAAATAAATGATCACTGTATATTGTTAATTAATTCAAATAATGTAATATTGATTTAGTGTTGTAGTGTGTGTGCTGCTTTATTTTATATGTGTACTTATTTCAGTCTATTTGTGTTTCTTATGCAGAAAAAAACAAGCAATGATGGACAACTACATGGGGAACAAGACACTCACCCCCCAGAAATGCATACCACTTACAAACTCTATTCTAGATTCTGCATTATTTTTTATGGAATTTACCTCTTATATTTTGATGCCAAAAAATTATTCTGGACTGATCTTTTGCACTGTTTAGCTCATTTTACACCACTGACTGTGTTCATGTGCAATAAAATAGATTGCTGTCAACTGCACAATTCTCTTATGTTTTTCTTTTTCTTAACTGAAATGTATTCATCACTTGTATAGGTTAAATAGCTAAACAATAACAAACCGATTAATCGATTAATCGAAAAAATAATTGACAGATTAATCGATTTTGAAAATAATCGTTAGTTGCAGCCCTAGTCACCACAGACAATGCCTCCAACAACATCCTTGCCCTTCAGCTGAATGAAATGACACGCCTACAGTGTTTTGGCCACCGTCTTCATCTAGCTATTGGTGAGTGCTTAACTCTAAATCGATCTAAAATGCACACAAATATATTTCAGTACACAGTAATCCCTTAGAGCAATGTTTCCTTGAAGGTTCTTCCCCCAACTCTGACAATGGTCAACTTCAGAGATCCCAGGAGGACTTCATTATATTTATCTGTACTGCTAGAATATTTTAACCTAAACTGTAGATGCTAACATCAGCTTCATAATGTCTATTTACTAAAAATGTAATAAATAGTTTAAAAATAAAGTATTCAATATAGTTTAATTACTCCAATGTCTGTTTAGATTTTTAAAATTTACAGAGATAAAAAAAATGTTTGTTTAGACTTGGCATACAGCCTAAAAGTCATAATTATATGATTAAATACTGTAGTATTTAGTCATATAATTATGACTTTTAGGCTGAGATAAAATCAAAGTTCTGTGATAAAAATGTCAATCAGGAGATAGACTTGTACAGTTAAAAAAAATTGTAATTGTGAAATAAAAATCTGCATTATGGGATACAGAAGTCATATACTTGAATGTATAATCTAATTTATTTATATAGACATTGATTAAAAAATGTAATTAATACATTTTATTAGTCCTGTACACAGTGTAATATTTAAAAAGTACATAATCTTATGTACACAGAGAGGAGTGTGAAACTAAAGGAGGTGGCGCGAGCAGTCGGCGTCTGCAAGAAGATCGTGGCTGCCTTCTCCAATTCATGGAAGAGGAGACGGGAACTGGCCGAGGCTCAAGCAGATCAAAATCCACCCTTGCCACCTCATCAGCTGATCACAGAAACCCCTACGAGGTGGCGCTCTATGCAAGCAATGGTTGAAAGGGCGATCGAGCAGGAGAAAGCTCTCTCACAAGTCCTCCGAGCCGACAAGAAAACTCGTCACCTGGTGCCAACTTGGCAGGATATGGAGGTTCTGGAGTCCATGAACAAGGCGCTGACTCCTCAAGGAGTTTACAGATGCCTTGAGCATATCTGCCTCTACATGTAGATGGTGGTGCAGGAGAAGTCTGGGTGGCTACTCTTGAAGCTGGCTGCTGCTACATGTTGAATTATTTTACTGGCAGATGTTAACATGACCAACATGTCTTGCTTGGAGAAAAAGTTCTAAATAAAATAAATATTTGGTTCCTACTACCTTTGTTTGGTATATCGTTTCAAACTGCATTGCCACATTGCAATTTTATATAAACTATTCATTCATTGAAATAGAATTAACAGAAAAATTGTTGGATCGTGATGTATATCGTCATATGAAATTTTGGCCATATCGCCCAGCCCTACCTTCCTGGCAAGACAACGAATTCCCTCGAGATTTCCGCCATCCTTCCTCATCGAGAGATCACAACCCCCCGTGAGGAATCACACCGTTGCACTTCTCGAAAGAAACTGGAGGTAATCAAAGCCGTTCGGTCACTCGTGCTGACGTAAGTTATATATAACGTTGCATTTTATTTAGAAAATAACCGGGGATTTTACACTGAAACAGTGTGGTTTCCTGTCTTGCACTATGTGAACTGCGGATTTTGACGTGTCCCAGAAGCGGCTCGCGGAAAAAATAGAACTTGATCCCATCTTTTTCGGCGTCGCACAGCATGCCGCTTCTGCGACGCGGCTGAAAATTGCAGCTGGTTTGAAACACTCCATAGACTATAGTTGGATTCTATTTGAAGCGGTGCCGCTTCGCTGCCGCTCCGTTCCGCTGATGCTTGCAGTGTGAAACCGGGGTGAGTGTTGTCTCCAGCCTTGTTTCTGTCTTCCTGACATTCCCGACTCTTGTCCCTGATGCTACGTTTTACCAACATCTCAGAGCCTCCTGACTGGGTCATTGTTGCTGATCTGTGAGGCTTTTCATGGCTGACGGGAGGCTCCATGTTGTCCACAGGTGTTGGGTCATACATAAGATACTTAAGTATGTTTCTGTCCAGACAGGAGATGATGAGGAGAGTGAGGAGGATCCAGAACCAGCTGATGGTGCAGCGACGGAGCAGGAAGCTGGTTTAAGTTCAAGGTAAATTACCAGGAGGCCTCAGAGCTGATAGAAACCAGCATTCTAGCTGAAACGTGTTTTGTCTTTGCAGCTCTGCTTCTGAATGTCGTAAAAGACGGAGCGTCCTCTCCGGCTCATCGGCATTACAGCAACAGGACGTGGATCCAGATCAAGGCGGAACGGTGAGTGGAATGGAATTTCATGTTGGAGAGCAGGCTTTAGATGGAGATGACGACTGCAAACCGGAGCTACAGGAGAAGGGGAAGGCCAGTAAAATTCCCTGTAAGGTGTGTGACCTGCAGTTCCTGGTCCTGGGGTCTCTGACCAGACACGCCTGGCGTCATCTGGATGACCCTCTGAGCATCTGTGGGGTGTGTGCAGAGGGCTTCCCGTCTTCAGAGGAGCTGAAGAAGCACCTGTGGTCTCACCAGAACACCATGGACTGTTCCTACTGCGGGAAGACCTTCTTCTCCATGAATGGACTCAACAACCACATCTCTCTGCACACGGGCAAGCGCTTGTTTAAATGCAACATCTGCAACAAGAGCTTTCCTTACTTGTCGGTGCTGAACAACCACCACTGGGTCCACGTGGAGGACAAACCGCACAAGTGTGACCTGTGTGCTAAGGCGTTTGGGCTGAGGGCTCAGCTGCTGGCTCATATTAAGACTCACAACAAGAGCGACAGGTTCAACTGCAACATCTGCGGCAGGTCTCTCTACGACCTCCGGTCTCTGATGCGCCACAAGATTACCCACACTAATGAGCGGCGTTACGGCTGTGACGTCTGCGGCAAACGCTTCAAACTCCAGGGGACGCTGAGGGCCCACGAGAAGACCCACACAGTCCGAGAGCGGTCCTACCTCTGCCACATCTGCTGCAAAACCTTCGTCACCAACTCCTCCCTGACCAGTCACATGAAGACCCACAGTGACGCCAGGCCCTTCGTCTGTACCGTCTGCTCTAAAGGCTTCCTAACCAACACTGACCTCAGGAACCACATGCGCGTCCACACGGGGGAGAAGCCGTTCAAATGCACCAAGTGTGGACGCCTCTTCAAACTCAAGAACACCCTGAGGAACCACATCCTGACCCATACGGGCATCAAGCGCTTCATCTGTAGCGTCTGTGGGAAAACCTGTTCTCGTCAGGAGCACCTGAACGTCCACATGAGGACACACAACGGAGAGAGACCCTACAAGTGTCAACTGTGTGAGAGAGCCTTCACCCAGAGCCACTGTCTGAAGACACACATGAAGAGCCACCAGACTGGGAAGGACACTCTGGAGGTGTCAACATCACAAAGTCCTTCAGTCTGATGAGGACACGATCCGTGTTTGATACAAATCACTAAACGAATAGGGCTGGTACTCAAGGATGTAGAAGGTTTACGTTGGACATAGACTCTGTCCGTCCTACAATACCTGTCTCACACACGTAGGTTTACATTAGACGTAGACTCTATCTGTCCTACAAAGACTGTCTAACAGACTCTTGTAGAGATGCTGGCAGTGTTGGACCAGCGTTATTCTCTTCCGCGTTCCCAGACTTTGTAGGATAGAGGTTCTGACTCTGTGGAGCTTCCTGATCCCGATAATCCCAATTTAAATGAATGTCCAGACAGCGACTCTATTGGACGGCCAGAGGATGTGTGGGTAACGACCAAGCCCCCACAATGCGGGTCTGAAATTGAGGCCAATGCGGAAGTGAAATAAATTGCAGTTCTCATGCGCTCAAAAGTGCTCATCCGCTGGGGGCTGGTGTCAGAAACGAGCAAATCCTCATTGACTCCCATGTTAAAAATACCAATTTCACAGCAGAAATAAACATGTTTACAGCCTGGTACCAAAACATGTTTTTGGTTTAATTGATCTAGTTTACACTCATGACAACTCTGAGGGGGGTGAATTTTTTTGGCACTCTTCTGTTTAGGTGTATTAAAAGCCTCAAATTCTGACTAATTGATGAGCATCAGACCCACGTGACCACAGAGCTAGCTCCGTGGAAAGGCCTCAGTCTCGCCTGAAAACTGTTCCGCGATTTTTAGTCTCTGAACTTAGACCAGCTAATCAGCTCTGGCTGATTTATTGTTTGGATCACAGTGAGTTACACTAATTCTAATATATTTTTATTTCTATTATACATACAAACTTTTTATTTTTTAATTTTTATTTCCACATGACTGTTATCAGGCTCTCTTGTTCTGGTTCTGATGATAATTCCGTGTCTTCCAGTAAGTTATCTTGTGCTTACTTCATCTGTAGAATGTCTCTTTACTTTTGGTGAATTGTACCGAGTCCAGAATAAAGGCTAGTTGGCTTTACTAGATACAAACAAGTATTACGTTTTAGAAATATATGAAATGTATTTAGCCTGCTAATTTATCTCAAATATTAATAACTACCGTATTTTCTGGACTATGAGTCGCACTTTTTTTCATAGTCTGGCTGGTCCTGCGACTTATACTCCGGCGACTTATGTACCAAATTATGTAGGCTATACCGCGCTGCTGCGGGCCGGCTCCGGACCAGGAATGAGCTCCCCTGCCCTGTAGGGAATTAAAAAACACACAGCCATCACCTGCTTGAGACTGTGACGCGCAGCTGCGGGCTGGATCCGACCCAGGTTTCAGCTCACCTGCCCCGTAGGGAATTAAAAGACACACAGCCATCACCTGCTGGAGCCTGTTGCGTGCCGTTGCACACTGGATCCGGTCCAGGTTTCAGCTCCTCTGCCCCACCATCACCTGCTGCAGCCTGTGGCGCACTGCTGCGGGCCAGCTCCGACCCAGGAATGAGCTCCCCTGTCCCACTGAGAGGGTTTCAAACGCCGCCATCCTCTACTGGTGACCGTGGTGCGCTGCATTTTTTATTCTGTTATTGTTACCGGTACTTGTCTTGCAATGTGAAACGCTTGGTCTCAGATTTTGTAAGAAAAATAATAAAATTTCCCCCCAAAATGCGACTTGTAGTCCAGTGCGACTTATATATGTTTTTTTCTTCTTCGTTATACATTTAATGGCTGGTGCGACTTATACTCCGGAGCGATTTATAGTCCGGAAACTACGGTTCGTTAAAAATATTGAAAACTTGCTCAAAGCAAAATATATTTTCATTAAGGAAATAACTTATAAACTTACCGATTTAATACTTTTTTATTCACAGAAAGATAGTTTTCATGAAAAAGTGCCGCAAACCTCCACACAAACTCCGTGTGAGCTTCAGGTCACTGGTGTTCCATAGAGTTAGCTCCGGTTGTAGCTAGGTAGCTACCTCCATTAGCTTAGCTCCCACATCCTCGTTAGCTTCAGGTTAGCTTGTAGCTAGTTCAACCGGGTGTCGTCAGTTGATCCCAGCCTTACAGCCCTACCTTCAGCTCCACCTCTCTTCCCTTTTGTGGAATTGTCTGGGCTTGACGGAACCTGTGACATGGTCAAAATGGCGGTGGTGGCCACCTCCCATTTTTCTTCAAAAACGTGTTATTAGAGCCTATGGAAACCCATTGTCCAATATTTATATGTCAATAGTAACGGCAGAGTAATGCTGCCTCTTTACCTGGGGACATGTGACTCGTCTTCTGAAGCTTAAGGATTGTTTTAAGTTGTCCTTTCTATCTATTACTTTTTTCTATCGGATGACTTTTTTCTTTTTTCTGTTTGACGGGGTGAAAACCATCTCACCTGTGATGCAGGTATGAATAAACATTCTCTCATTGTGTAGAAGCCAGACTAAGTTACTGATGTTGAGATGATTCATGGATCAGTGGAGAGACTCCCCTTCACCAGGACAGGTTCACACATGTGGGTACATGATAAAAATACTCCATTACTCCCAAAGGGAAACTTGAAGGTATGGTAACTGGTCCAGCTGGTTTGCTGAGGTAACAAAGCCAAGGGAATCGATGCATCAGGACATGTCGGGAGAGTAGTTTGGATCCTTTGTTCTGATTGGTTTAGAAAAGCCTCATACGTGAGGACTAGCTGTAAAGAGGAGGAGGTCCAACCCAAAGCAGGTGTGGGTGAGGAGATGTTTCTGTCTGGTTCAACATCTGGTTTGCATCCTTTACGTGCATCTGATGAGGAAGAGGCTGCAGACGGACCAGCTGCTGCTCCGCTGGAGAAGATCCAGGACCACAGTCTCCACTCTGCAGCTCTTCATGGTTTCTAACTGAAACATGACTCCTCCATCTGCAAACAAACATTGACGAGTCCAAAAAATCGAATGTTGAGTAAAAATGTCACAAAGTTACAGCCGTAATAACTGAGATGTGTGTGTGTGTGTGCGTGCGTGCGCATGTGTGTGAGAGAAAGATCTGCTGTGGCGACTCCTGAAGGGAATGACCCAATGACAAATGTTTGATCTACTCAGCCAATCAGAATCCTCTCCTGCCCATGTGAGGGTTAGAGTTGGTTATAATGGTGACCAGTGATAACACAGAACATCCACCAGGATGTTGTGACATCATCAGACAGGAAACTGGGCCGTTTGTCAGCCGTGCTTCAGTTTGAGATTCTTCTCTAAAACATACTGACAGTCGGGGGGGGGGGGGGGGGGGGCAGACCCACTGGGCCACTGACCTCTGACCCCAGCACTGTCAGTGTGTGTGTGGGCTTGTATTTGTACCCTTGTGAAGACCGAATTTGGGATATTTACTAACCTTCTTACGACCGATGGTCCTTGATAGGACCAAAACCCGGTCCTAATACGGAGTACTCCCTAGGGATGAGGTGTACGGATAAGATGTGATTTGAGTTTTTGTTACACATAACTTTAGGAATACACTGGTTAGGTTTAGGGTTAGGCATAGTGGACTCACTAAAATGAATGGAAGTCAATGCAAAGTCCTAACATGGGTACACATACAAGTGTGTGTGTGTGTGTGTGTGTGTGTGTGTGTGTGTGTGTGTGTGTGGGTGTGGGTGTGTGTGTGTGTGTGTGTGTGTGTGTGTGTGTGTGGGTGTGGGTGGGTGGGTGGGTGTGTGTGTGTGTGTGTGTTAGAAGGTCACGAGTGGATCCAGCTCAGTGGTCACTCTGATGTTTGCTGTGTGTGTTTCGACACACAGCTTAATCGTTTAAACAAAAGTGAATGAGATTAATTTGCTCCTGCGGATCCGAGGATGGAGTGGACCCCCGCAGCACCAGTGAGTGTTTTTGTTATTGTTTAAATAAAGTTTAGAATATTTTTACTGCTGCTTACAGGGAGGATTCTGTTTACTAATGAATTTACTTGATTGGATCGTCCTTTGCTTATTTAATCCAGTTAAGGGTTTACATCGGGATCAGCTAACCCCGGTCCTTAGATCAGGTGTGTCTGAGCATGTGGGAAATATGAACCCAGTAGTTATTATAGAACCCATCCAGATAAATAACCCCTATCATCAGTGTGTAAATAACAGGTTAAGTAATCCCAGATATCTGGATGATTTGATAGCAGATGTCCTACAAGTCTGTCTGCATATGTGAGTGAGATCTACGGCTGTTCGTGGACAATTAACCTGTCCAAGTGTGTAGATCTGTGATTCATAGAGCAGTAATAATCTGGATTACACGACCGACTGTGGTGACTTTAAAAAAAGCTTTTAAAACGTTTCTTTTGTTTGGTTTCTAACCGATTATGGGTGTTTTTATTGTGATAAAAGCCTGTAGTTATTTATTCTAATGTATGTAAATTAGGATTTTATAATTGAGTGAGCTTGTATTAGTGAACGGTTAATGAAATTATAGGATTTTTGTTTTGTGTCCTTTTTGACTTGCATGAATTATTTTGCTGAAGGACCCCATGAAGAGTAGTTGTCAAGTTTACCTAACGGGGATCCAACTAATAAACAGTAAACAAATAAACAGTCACCTGGTTGGAATCCATTCCACAGGTGTGCCTCTGATGAGCTCAAACTGTTCCTGAATACCGAGAATAACTACTTACAAAATAAAACTCTGTTTTCATATTAAAACACTTTTTATAATATTAAATCATGAATGTAATAATTTAGTTTCAGGAGGCGGAGCCAGTGGGTCAGAACCGGTCCGGACCGGGCTGTGGTGAGTACAGACAAACTACAACAACAATAATAATAATAATAACGTAAACCATCTAACAGCTCCTTCACTCGCCCAGGTGACCAGCAGGTGATAGGGTGGAGTCCACCTGTGCAGCAACAGCAGTACCCCGGTCTGACCAGTGGGGGGCAACATAACCCATCATCCACACACACCACAGCAGCTGTGAGTGTTCTTATCTAACACACATCATTGTTTTAATAGACAAAGACACCAGCCAAGTTCCTGTAAACTTATATTTATGATATATTTAGATGGGGGTCCAGTTTATCACCAGGAATTAGCCTGCAGCATAATCAGACCAGATTAAAGATTAGGATTAGATTATTTCAGGTTTTAGGTTATGGGAAGGATAAAACTTTATTGATCTCATGATGGGGAAACGTGTCGGCTACCACAGCTCAGGTCAGATAGCAAGAGAGTGCCCAAGAAATAAAAATACACCAACAGTAGACACTTACGCAGTAATCGTCATGGATACGGGTTATCATCATCCTCTTCATCACCCTCTATCATCATCACCCTCTTTATCATCATCACCATCATCATCTTCATCACCCTCTTTATCATCATCACCATCATCATCATCTTCATCACCCTCTTTATCATCATCACTATCATCATCATCTTCACCGTCACCATTATCATCTTCTTCATCACCCTCTTTATCATCATCACCATCATCATCATCTTCATCACCCTCTTTATCATCATCACCCTCTTTATCATCATCACCATCATCATCATCTTCATCACCCTCTTTATCATCATCACCCTCTTTATCATCATCACCATCATCATCATCTTCATCACCCTCTTTATCATCATCACCCTCTTTATCATCATCACTATCATCATCATCTTCACCGTCATCATCATCATCTTCTTCATCACCCTCTTTATCATCATCACCATCATCATCATCTTCATCACCCTCTTTATCATCATCACCATCATCATCATCTTCATCACCCTCTTTATCATCATCATCTTCATCACCCTCTTTATCATCATCACCATCGTCATCATCTTCATCACCCTCTTTATCATCATCACCATCATCATCTTCATCACCGTCATCATTATCATCATCTTCATCACCCTCTTTATCATCATCACCATCATCATCATCTTCATCACCCTCTTTATCATCATCACCCTCTTTATCATCATCACCATCATCATCATCTTCATCACCCTCTTTATCATCATCACCATCGTCATCATCTTCATCACCCTCTTTATCATCATCACCCTCTTTATCATCATCACCATCATCATCTTCATCACCGTCATCATTATCATCATCTTCATCACCCTCTTTATCATCATCACCATCATCATCATCATCATCACCCTCTTTATCATCATCACCATCATCATCTTCATCACCGTCATCATTATCATCATCTTCATCACCCTCTTTATCATCATCACCATCATCATCATCATCATCATCATCACTGTCATCATTTTCATCATCTTCATCACCATCTTTATCATCATCACTATCATCATCATCTTCATCACCCTCTTTATCATCATCACCATCATCATCATCTTCATCACCCTCTTTATCATCATCACCCTCTTTATCATCATCACCATCATCATCTTCATCACCGTCATCATTATCATCATCTTCATCACCCTCTTTATCATCATCACCACCATCATCATCATCATCATCATCACTGTCATCATTTTCATCATCTTCATCACCCTCTTTATCATCATCACTATCATCATCATCTTCACCGTCATCATCTTCATCACCCTCTTTATCATCATCACCATCGTCATCATCTTCATCACCCTCTTTATCATCATCACCCTCTTTATCATCATCACCATCATCATCATCATCATCATCATCATCATCATCATCATCATCACTGTCATCATTTT